CGAATATAATTTAAGAGTTTTAGATTTCAAAATTTATTATGTCATACCTACTTATTTAACTTAAACATGAGCAGATGATCAAGCAACATAACATCTGCTATTTTGATTTAACAAACAAATCCAAACTACATAACATTTAACAAAGAATATCAGGTAACAAGATCTGGTTGCTTTGTTTACAGCATAACAAACTTTACTTTTCTTTAGAGCACAAACTATACATTACATTCACTAGTTTAACGTATAATTACAGTCAATCATAAAATACATTCACTAACTTAAAAAAACAACGACAGAATATAATATCTAACTAAATAACCTCCACCAGAGAGCGTTTCACTTCACTAAGAATAATCTTCTAAACAGGCAGAGGTTTCCAATTCTGTTTTTCACGTTCCCTAAAATCTCGCACAAAAAGAAGTTTGGCTACGGAGGGAAGGATAACTTTAAACAGACAGCGAGTATGTCTTTAAATACAATAATAAAAATGTTATAGGTTTAGCTAAAATAGCCAAATGGAACATATATTATCTTTTATGAAAGCATAATTCTACTTGTAAACATTATTTTAACAAGAGATTAGTAGTAGCGGATGCCAAGAGTATAATGCTTAAAATTTGAAAAAATTTACAAACTAAATATTTGAAAGTTACGTTTTATAAGCACTCGGGTAACAAAAAACGTAATTCTGTAATGTATTGCTGACCCCATATAACACTCACCTCTGCTGATCCCTCATTAAATTTTGTAGAAATATCTTGTTTTAGTATTCATTGATTCCATACAAATTGACGGAAACTTAAGAATGTTTGTATTATTTGTTAATTCAAGCCTCATTTGATGTAGCATCTTCAAACATAACTTGAGTTTACCAAGTCGTGATCTCAAAAGACTGCATTTCGTTAAAAGTTTTTCCTCTTCTTTGCAGGAAAAGGAGTCCAACTAGTCCAACGTAATGAGACTTTATATCCGGAGTGGAATTCATGTTTTGACGTGCCGCTTTTCCGAGGTACGTGATATTCTTCCAAATTTAACTAGTATTATCTTTTTATCATAGCAACAGCTACAGGTTAAGATAACGTATGGAAGTATTACATTAAAGTAAATAAAAACTTTCAAAGAAAACCAAAATGTTTGTTTAATATTTAAACAGGAAAACAACGTTAGGACCACGGTCACAGAGCGACGCAGTAAGCAAATACATGCACAACTTCAAAATGTGCCTAATATGTACGAAAGAAAAATGTAGTAGTAAAGTGAATAAATAAATTTAGAACATCGGGGTTCGAACTCTGAATTCTACAATCATAAGCCCCGAAGTTTACTCAACACTATCATAATTAATATATTACTCCGAACTACGGAGAAAAACGCTAAAATCCACTTATTGTTATAATAATTATATTGTTACACCTACATGATAGTTGAAGTAACGAGGCGAATATTAAGAAAATGTAACCTGAAGTTAAGAAAACCATCATTTTAAATGAAAAAATGCGAGAAACATATTCTAGTTCAATAATTACAAAAATTGGTTACTTTCCGTTATCCGTTTCATTCAGAACTGTTAACGGCATAGTAAAAACTTACATACGTTAAAGTCAGATAGATATGGTAATATTCAGGGTATCTTCGAATACTGGCTTTAGTGAGTTTAGCGTTTTAACCTAAACACTTTTAGTAAGTTGAAGCGTTTAGTATTAACTATTCTAATTGAACTTAGCAATAATCCTACAATATACAGATAGCCAGGCTTTGTATGTAGCCTAAAACATAAAAAGTAAGGCCTAATATTTAGCTTAAAAAGTTGATAATCAGGTTTAGTATTTAACCTAAAACGTTACTGGCCAGAACTGTTTGTTTGTAGTTAAGCACAAAGCTACACAAAGGGCTATCTGTGCTCTGCCCACCACGAGTATCGAAACCCGGTTTCTAGCGTTGTAAGTCCGCAGACATGCCGCTGTTCCAATGGGGGACTTAACAACTGTATGACCAACCAATGTACAACCAAAGGCTGTACAATCAACAACTGTATGACCAACCAATGTACAACCAAAGGCTGTACAATCAGCAACTGTATGACCAAAGGCTGTACGATCAACCACAGTACGAACAAAGGCTGTATGACCAATGAGTGGATGACTAAAGTCAGTATAACATATTATTTGGATCACATGATCGATCAAATTTGCTTGATCTGCATAACGATGAATAGATATTTACTTTGCCATAGCTATAATATAAGAAATTTTGGTCATCCACTAATTGTTTTGTACAGTTTGTCTGTATATCTAAACCGATATGTCGTGTTATGAAGACCGATTGTCTAAGATACACGCAATTTATAGAATTTTTTCTTCTTCTTTAGCGATCTGAACGTTGATTTAATGGAGTTTAATGACGTAGATTTTTTGCAAAATACCGTTCTATAGTAGTTACTAACATTCAAGTTAGTTTCTTCTGTTTCCATTAAATCTTTTGATGTATACATTCTCTCAGAATACCAACATATTTGATTTTCAAGATTGTTTTTTTCCGCCACATTCTTCTACCCTATTAAGAAAGAATTAAAACGATAATTTCCTGTCATTATTTTCCTTCTTTGAGTCGCACGTGAAACCACTTATAAATATCAGAAATTGTGTTATGGTTACTTCTTTATTTCAAACATTTTTATGAAAGTCTATACTTTGGTCATGTTTAGCAATGTTAGAACTTAGACTGATGGAGAAGTGAAACTGACGCTGATAGATCTTGTAGGATGAAAAATGGCGCTGATGTTATCAAGTTGAATAAAAAGCTTTCGACAATTTACACTTTTTTCTTCTTTTTTTAACCGCATTGAATTTAAAGTTCAACACGTTTATCAGTCGCCTCTTCGTTGCTGAGAAATTGAGGTCAGGCTTAGAAAGTTTTTTTTTTTTATCATCTATATTTCCTGTAAAGTATCCCGGGAGGTTACGACAGATCGATATTACATGAGCATTGGTCTAACTCCTGAAACAAACGCTCCTTCTCTTTTATATTTCTGTGGATTATCATGTTCTGCACCGAGATCTTCCTAACCAATAACAATTAAGGTTGCCTGTAAAACTTTTATTACATTGAATTCGTTATCCCTTCGCACTTGGAGAGAAAATACACAGGACGAGCTTGCTTTGAAACCAGTATACCATTCATATTAACTAAACGTATGTTTTTTGTTGTTGTTTTTTATTTTATTATCCGAAACTATTTTTAAAGAATCACTTAACTGTTAAAACGAGCAACCTTGGTGTTAAGGTATAATCGTTAAGAATTATAAATTTTAAATATTAACTTCTCTTTTGTTTTAGATTATGCATTAGTTCTGGTCAATTGTACGACCAACCACTGTACAACCAAAGGCTGTACGACCACTGTATGACCAAAGTTGGTCGTACAGCCTTTGGTCATACAGTTGCTGATTGTACAGCCTTTAGTTGTACATTGGTTGGTCATACAGTTGTTGATTGTACAGCCTTTGGTTGTACATTGGTTGATCATACAGTCTTTGTTCGTACAGTTGTTGATCGTACAGGCTTTGGTTGTACAGTGGTTGATTGTACGGCTTTTGGTTGTACAGTCTTAGCTTAGTTGTCAGTATGAAGCGGATCACATGCTTACAATTCTTCATGTACTACGGCTAGGTCGCGAATGGAAGCCAGTCAATTATAGTAGACTG